CAGTGCTCGAGTATTTGCTCGAGTGGTTATCAGTCTCTTCTGAGGAACTGAGGAAGGGCTCGTTAAAGGAGTCATGCACATGATATAAAAGTCTTACTGATACAGCAGTCATAAAACAAACATTGAAAGTAAAAAATAAATGCTGCGTTAGCGTGAATCAGAATCCAAAGACTGTGATGTCCCCGGGGGAAACTGCTTTGTTCCAGAAGCTCAATGAAAAAACATGAAAGACAGAAACAATACTCATTTCTGAGGAATTCGCCTTTTTTCTTGTCAATACTTGTAATGATGAAAAGGATAAGAGGAGAACATTACCCAGTTTCATTTATTACATTCAGATGTTATCAAATTCCATGCAAAAGTGGAACCGTTATCGGTTTGTGTTGTTACTGTTAGGCTTGTCTCGCTGATAAACTCGAGGTTGCTTCAACTTCAGAGCACTTTTTAAGCACACATCCAAAGCTAAGTGATAAATGATGTCTGAATGACTTTTTTAATTGCAGGCTTTTCATTGTAGTGCTCCAAATAACATTCAAATACAAATACAACAAGAAGGAAAATCAGGAACTAAACTCTAAACTTCCATTTGTTGATGAGGTCCTGATAAGAGGCAGTGAGTTCCACAGGTACACGTTTAAGTTGTTGTTTTTCTTTATTGTACCGTGCTAATTTACTGATCTGAAGCCAGACTGAAGGAGCATGCAGTGGATTCTCAGGCAGTCCAGCCTACAGGGAGTGCAGAATTATTAGGCAAATGAGTATTTTGTCCACATCATCCTCTTCATGCATGTTGTCTTACTCCAAGCTGTATAGACTCGAAAGCCTACTACCAATGAAGCATATTAGGTGATGTGCATCTCTGTAATGAGAAGGGGTGTGGTCTAATGACATCAACACCCTATATCAGGTGTGCATAATTATTTGGCAACGTCCTTTCCTTTGGCAAAATGGGTCAAAAGAAGGACTTGACAGGCTCAGAAAAGTCAAAAATAGTGAGATATCTTGCAGAGGGATGCAGCAGTCTCAAAATTGCAAAGCTTCTGAAGCGTGATCATCGAACAATCAAGCGTTTCATTCAAAATAGTCAACAGGGTCGCAAGAAGCGTGTGGAAAAACCAAGGCGCAAAATAACTGCCCATGAACTGAGAAAAGTCAAGCGTGCAGCTGCCAAGATGCCACTTGGCACCAGTTTGGCCATATTTCAGAGCTGCAACATCACTGGAGTGCCCAAAAGCACAAGGTGTGCAATACTCAGAGACATGGCCAAGGTAAGAAAGGCTGAAAGACGACCACCACTGAACAAGACACACAAGCTGAAACGTCAAGACTGGGCCAAGAAATATCTCAAGACTGGTTTTTCTAAGGTTTTATGGACTGATGAAATGAGAGTGAGTCTTGATGGGCCAGATGGATGGGCCCGTGGCTGGATTGGTAAAGGGCAGAGAGCTCCAGTCCGACTCAGACGCCAGCAAGGTGGAGGTGGAGTACTGGTTTGGGCTGGTATCATCAAAGATGAGCTTGTGGGGCCTTTTCGGGTTGAGGATGGAGTCAAGCTCAACTCCCAGTCCTACTGCCAGTTTCTGGAAGACACCTTCTTCAAGCAGTGGTACAGGAAGAAGTCTGCATCCTTCAAGAAAAACATGATTTTCATGCAGGACAATGCTCCATCACACGCGTCCAAGTACTCCACAGCGTGGCTGCAAGAAAGGGTATAAAAGAAGAAAAACTAATGACATGGCCTCCTTGTTCACCTGATCTGAACCCCATTGAGAACCTGTGGTCCATCATCAAATGTGAGATTTACAAGGAGGGAAAACAGTACACCTCTCTGAACAGTGTCTGGGAGGCTGTGGTTGCTGCTGCACGCAATGTTGATGGTGAACAGATCAAAACACTGACAGAATCCATGGATGGCAGGCTTTTGAGTGTCCTTGCAAAGAAAGGTGGCTATATTGGTCGCTGATTTGTTTTTGAATGTCAGAAATGTATATTTGTGAATGTGGAGATGTTATATTGGTTTCACTGGTAAAAATAAATAATTGAAATGGGTATATATTTGTTTTTTGTTAAGTTGCCTAATAATTATGCACAGTAATAGTCACCTGCACACACAGATATCCCCCTAAAATAGCTAAAACTAAAAACAAACTAAAAACTACTTCCAAGAACATTCAGCTTTGATATTAATGAGTTTTTTGGGTTCATTGAGAACATGGTTGTTGTTCAATAATAAAATTATTCCTCAGAAATACAACTTGCCTAATAATTCTGCACTCCCTGTCGATAAATCTAGATAATGAGGCATGAGATATAGGGACATAAAACTAAAGGTAAAGCACGAGAAACAAGGTCTTGCAAACAGGAACCAACTAACCATGTGGAGTTTGTGTTGGACTCCGTTAGGCTGGGATCAGCTCGTCTCGTGACATCAGTAATTAGCAGACTCTGTTATTAAGCTAACATGTTGTTGGATTTTTACTCAGCATAACTGCAATGGATTTCTTTCCCATGTTCATTGCAGCTGCACAGTTTACCCATAACAGTTTGTCCTGAGAGGGAGGTGTGAAGTTCAAAAGATGGCAGACTTGCCACCAGACAGGCTCAGCATGGAACCACCTTTTAGCAATGTCGGCATTGACGTGTTTGGGCCCTGGTCTGTGTCAGCCCGTCGCACGAGAGGAGGCAACGCTGATAGTAAGAGGTGGGCTGTCCTCTTCACCTGTCTGTGTGTCAGAGCTATACACATTGAGGTAACTGAGTCATTGGTTTCCTCCAGTTTCATAAACGCATTCAGAAGGTTTATGGCGATTCGAGGGCATTTGCAAAACATATGGTCTAATTTCACCAGAGCTTGCAAAGATATGGGGATTCCCTCAAATCTTGATGGGAAAGCCATGGAGAGGTTTCTGTCAGAACATGGATGTATGTGGACCTTCAACACACCACATTCCTCTCATATGGGAGGAGCATGGGAAAGGATGATCGGCATCACACGTCGTATCCTGGACTTGATGCTTCTTCAAATGGGCTCCTCCAAACTCACACATGAGGTACTCACAACATTCATAGCTGAGGTTTCAGCCATAGTGAACAGTCGACCACTTGTGCCTGTGTCAAACGATCCTACAGATCCTTTCATTCTTACACCTGCTTCATTGCTTCAAGAAGCCAGAAAGTAGGTCCATTCCCAGTACCAGAAGGAGATTTTGGTCATAAAGACCTATTGAAGCAACAGTGGCACAGGGTCCAAAGTTTGTCTAACACATTTTGGGACAGGTGGCGGAAACAGTATCTGTCAACGCTACAGTGTCGAACAAAGTGGACATCTGACCGGCCAAACCTTAAGCAAGGAAGTGTGGTGCTTCTTAAGGACAGTCAGTGCAGTAGGAACGAATGGCCCTTAGGAATTATCGTTGATGTGTATCCCAGTAAAGATGGAAGGGTGCGCAAAGTGCAAGTAAAGGTCATCAAGAAAGAGGAACCAAAGCTTTACGTCCGACCTGTGAATGAGATGATCTTGCTCATTCCTCCAGATGACTGAAATGTGTTTGAGCTTGTCATATTAGTAGGTGAAACCCGCTGGGTTTCAGACGGGGAGTGTTCTGTCACCAGTGTTGGGAAGGTTACTTTTAAAATGTATTCCATTACAGAATACAGAATACATGCCCCAAAATGTATTCTGTAACGTATTCCATTACGTTACTCAATGACAGTAACGTATTCTGAATACTTTGGATTACTTAATATATTATCGTGCTTTTTACAACAACGTGAATGTACTATTGCTGTGTGATTTATTACTATTACTGAAGGTCCGCGACTCCGAACTGTAGTAAAGGGACCTCTGACTAATACGGCGGGGTCCCTGTCGGCTCGTAGCCGAAAAATAGCTTTACTTTGTTGTCTGGGTCAACTTTTCTTGCGAGAGACAGAGAGAGGCTTTGAAAGACTCCAACGGAACTTATTGTTTCAGAGGAAAACAGGAACACGGTGTACAGTCGAGTCTTAATAGCTTACTTACAACTGGGCTCGTCAGGCTCTCTTCTTGGCTGCAGTGGTTATTATTATATTTACATGCTTCCAGCTCCCGTTTTTCCTCGACGACAGCTCGTACCTTTCCACTCCCCTTTTTCTCCCTCCTCGCTCACAGACACATAACGTGTATGGCAGTCCATTCTCCCTGCAGCACGGACTACACTGCCCATGATGCTGCATTCTTTAGAGCTATGCTTGTAGCATTCTGCCTGTTAGCTTAGCACAACAACAACAACAACAATGAAAAGGCGCTCTCTCACCCAGGAAACACACAGTCGCAGAGAGAGAGAGCGTCGCCCTGTAACCATGGCAGCCGTAACGCTGCCGCCTGGAACAACAGAACGTAGCTGTCAAACAAAACCAAACAGTCCTGACCCGCGACAAAATGAAACAGGAAAGTACCGCCGTGTAATCCATTTATTTCAACAAAGTAACTGTATTCTGAATACCACCTTTTTAAACGGTAACTGTAACGGAATACAGTTACTCATATTTTGTATTTTAAATACGTAACGGCGGTACATGTATTCCGTTACACCCCAACACTGTCTGTCACCATGTAACTGTGTTCTGTTTAAATAGATTTTCCCTGAGAAAGTTGCTCTTTAGTGCCTCCTTCTGGCATGACCTGGTGTAACGTGCACAAATCTGTCTCTATTCTATGATGTCATCAGAAAGTGCATGCTATTGTTTGGGGAAAAGACTTCTCCTGTTCTCTGCTGTAGTAACAATTGTCTCCCTTAAGATGGTCTTTAAGGGCATTGTCGGTATGAAATTCTGTTCCATCCTTACTAATGAACAAAATCTACTTGAAATGCGATTGCAGTGTTTGCTTAATAGAAATGGTTGTAAAGAGAGGATTCGCTAACGCTTTTGGCTAAACAAGTCATTTGTACTGTTATTGTGTATTTGTCCTTGTCTTTGATTTCTAAGAGCATTTCATGTTGTTTTCTCAGTTTTATTCTACTTCAACTGGCCTAAGTAAACCGAGTGAAGTCAAACCCTCGTGTCTGCGTGGTCATTTTGAAGAGGAGTTGAGTCTGAATGTCGACTCTAGCAAGGCGTTAGAGGCAGAGGACATTACAGTATGTGTTCAGGCTACACTTCTCGTTATTATCCACATTTCCAAATTAAGAAGACACCTAACAGTCACAAAATATTATCTAATTAAATTTAGTTGTAAAGATTATAGTTAGTTATAGAGTGAAAAAGACAGAGTGTGGCTGCACAGTGATTATTGTTTTAGTAATACATGAAAAAACAAGCCTGGTAATTCATTACTCATAATTTTTGTTCTATCTATACAGAATAATATGTATAATTTTATTTCATAACAATGTGAAATAAGTGAGAGTTACTACTATAAGTACGAGTTAATATGTTTATATTAGGGATGCACCGATACCTATCAGTATCGGTGCATCCCTAGTTTATATACATTTCCATATATCCACTTATCTCTCAGTCTGCTCCTCAGTCCCAGATCTGAAAAAAAACCCCCAAAGATATTAGAAGGTACATTTGAGATTAAAGAGGTTATTCTTCCAAAAATGAGATGGCACGAGAGAGAACAACGTAACCAATGTAAACAGAACAATTACGAAAATCCATAAAATAAGTGATTAAAACAGAGCTGGGGCCCGTTCTTCGTACGTCGCTTACTACATCCAAGATCAAATGACACATCCAAGATCAAATCATCGCGCTAACCGTGAGCTCGCTAATCCGGTTCCCCGAACACACTTGCTGTTGACGATTACTACAGCTGGACGCAGGAATGTGACATCACTGGGCGTCGTAAAAGGGGCTACGCATCGATAGTAGAAACATTGATCGGCAACCCGCTGATTGGTCGGCGAAAATGTCGAAGGGGCGTGCTCGGTATTTTCCGGCAGCAGAGCAAGAACTCTTGAGTGAGGGATTTCAGGAGTTTCAGAGTTTAATTAAAACGCAAGAGAACACTGCAAAGGCTGCAAAAGCAAGGAGAGAGGGCTGGCAGAAAGTTGCTGACAAATCAAACTCGTAGGTAATTTAATAATAATAATAATAATAATAATAATGGATTGGGTTCATATAGCGCTTTCCAAGGCACCCAAAGCGCTTTACGATACCACTATTCATTCACTCCCACATTCACACACTGGTGGAGGCAGCTACGGTTGTAGCCAGGCTGCCATATCGCGCCATCGGCCCCTCTGGCCAACACCAGTAGGCGGTAGGGTAGATCTATCATATGACACTATATTGTCCAATATCATATGGCATTATATTATATTATAATATGTTATATTATATCCCCTTTCACATTAGAGCCACAACAGGACCCACAAGAACATGGGAACAAGTAAAAGTGGAATACAGGAGTATTCTACAGAATGGTAATATTTATCTCTTAGATTGCTTTGCGTCTCTTGGCAAGGTAATACTGGCCTGTAATACTCTGTTAGTTTGTTCATAACAGCAACCAAGAAAAGGGCAGAGGAAAAAAAGACAGGTGGTGGTCCTGCACCCCCTCGTCAACAAGTTGGTTAAGTAAATAATACCCTCACGGGAAAATCGATATCTCTCTATGAGCACACTGTCGCGCTGAGCTAAAGGATCCTGTCTGTCCCGCAATATACGCTGAATTCTGAGGACTCTCCTTATCAATCTTGCACCTTCCGCAATGGGTTGCTCGCGTATACGGACAGGACATGGCTGCGACAGGCTTCCCAAATCCACCTTCGCTTTTATAGCCGTGGTCTCTCATCTTGATTGCACAAAGTAATTTACTATTACTACTCTAAAATATGAATTACATCTGAAATAATCAAATACATGTAATAGAATGTTAATAGTACATTTCCCTTTTTTTAGGAAATGACCTGTATGTATCTGTGTGAAATCAATAAATGGATCAGGTGCTGCATTATCTTTAGTTACATTGATAATATTTATTTATGGTGAAACAGTGGTGGAATATCGCTGTTGCTTTCGTATAAATGAAGCGGACATACCTGCGTGGCCGCGATCTAATCCTGTTTACATAAAGTGAACCTGCTCCCGAGCAGGTTTACGCTTACGGCTCTGTTGCTATGACAGCAAGTCCCGGATGAGCTTCAGGGAACCGACTGATCCAGGATCACGCGAAATCGTCAACAATCTAATCCGGCTAACCTACTTAGCGAGGTACGAAGAACGGGCCCCTGATCTGTAACTGAACATGTTTACATTTGTGTAGAGATGATTTTGGTCAGTTTTATGCCACTTAATGTGATATGCACATGAAAATAAATAGAAACTTTTTTATTTGCTTTATCCAATGAAAGATCTGCTTAATTCACAAAGCTTTCCACATTTTTTCATGTTACAGCCTTTTGATTTTTCGTCTTTAAATTCTCGTACAACACCTCATAATGACAAAGTGACAAAAGTTTGTTTGAAATCACGTGTTTGATTGTCTTCACCTGCGTCCAATCACTCTATAAGACCATGAACACACAAGCATGGTGCTCAGAGCATCAGACTACCACACATCAGCTGCTGATGGTGCTTAACTGTGGATTATCTCCTTCGTATATGGATGCTCCAGTGTCTCCTCTGCTAAAGGAGGTAACAAAGGAAGCACCAAGGAACCTTTCTTTAGTGTTCATCCTACCAGCTGTGATTATGGCTGCTGCACAGACATGTTCAGGTCACGTCGGTCAATTCAGAGCCTTCTCTTAATGTTTGTCTGATCCATCGTCTTGCACTCTGTGGTTTCCCACTCTGCATTTTTGGGAATCTTGTTTTGTGTCTCTGCTGAAAGGATTTTGTGTTTCCTTGTTAATAAACGCTGATTGTTCATTCCTCCTGCCTTCATGCTTTATGATTTATGTCAGTGCTGTAAGAGATGGTGACTGGGACAGTTCTCACATACTAATATTCTTCCAACAGATGACCTGAGGATCGTGCTGTTTGGGAAGACCAGGGTTGGTAAAAGTACTCTAGGAAACATCATCATGGGGAACACAGAGACTTTCACCTCAAAGGATTCGTCCAAAGATCGCACACAGAAATCCCACAGCACTGTGGAAGGTCAAAAAGTGGCTGTTGTTGATACTCCAGGTCTGTTTAAACCTGGAAAACATGAAGATGAGCTGGTGAACGAGATCAAGCGATCCATTGATCTTGCCAGTCCTGGTCCTCATGTGTTCCTGCTGGTGCTGAGGTTCGGTATGATCACCTCTGAAGAATTAGAGGTACTGGAGGTTTTTGTGCGCACCTTTGGCAGACGTGCATTGGCCTACACAACAGTGGTGTTCACCCATAGAAATGAAGATGAAGACTATGAAGCTAACATACAGGAGGCTATGATCGAGAGTAAGGATTTCAGAGAACTCATTGAGCAGTGCCAGTGGAGATATTTTGCTTTTAACATTGAAGACAAAAGTCCTGCTCAGGTCACCGAGCTGCTGAAGAAGATAACACCGATGGGAAAAGATTACTTCTACACTCCTGACATGCTCCAAGAGGCTGGAAAACCGGACGAGCAGGACGAAAAACCAAAAACAGCAGAAAGAACAGGCAGGCGTGCGCTTCTGGAAAGGACTGGATTGGTGGGAATCATTTTGGGATCTGTGGGGGGATATTTACTTGGAGGTGGTGAGCTGACGTCTACATCGGGAGCTTTACTGGGAGCTTTAGGGGGTTCAGTACTGTCGATGGGAACAACAGCTTTAGCGATGAAGGCCAAAATGCTCACTGAGAAATGCTGCAAAAAGTGAGTTTTTAATTGATTTAGCTTTTTGTAAAATGTTTCAAAAACAGATTCAAACCTTTAAAAATGAAAGGAATGGCCACGATGGCTCGTTACCGTGACGATTTGACCTGGGCTGTATTTTCATCTAATACCAGTTTGTACCACATGATGCAGCAGTGAGTCGGTGTAATGTTCATGCAACCAGGTCTCTTTTTCTTTTTTTACCTTTTCATATTGTAAGGGATATTTGTGCTTTAAGCAACAGGACTAGATGTTACAATCCCTGAACATGCATTGCTTCAAATGTAGAAAGTCTTGAGCAATGACTGTTATCATCGTTTTGTGCCTCAACCTCACAAGATGTTTCTGTCTTTTATCACAAGCTAAGGGACATCTGTACAGTTTGTATTCTGGTTGCTGATTGGTTGAGCTCTCTAAACTCTTTAAAAACATCTAACTTTCAGTGGTTTGCAGAGTAGTTTACAGTAAAATAATCACCAGTGAATTAGCAGTTGTTGGTGGAGGGGAGAGCCACAAGATTACTGGGTACCTCCAGATACTTTACTGGGAAACAAACCTGAAACAGAACATCATCCTCCAAAATTGCTCTTTAAAAAAGAAAAATCATAGAAGCCAAACATCTGTTACTGTCAGCTTTCAAATTTGCACATTGAATTTATTATCTCCATGTTTTGCTGTTTGAAGATGCTGTTCTGGGAGCTTGTGATTGCTCTTTTTGTAGCATTTAAATCACTTTAAAAACTGTGTAAAGTAATAAAAATCCAAATAATATAATTTATAATTTCTGTTATGTTGCATTTTTCATTTATTACCTGAAGCAGTGCTTTGATATTGAGATTGTAGTGTTACTAGGGTGGAGCACGTGATCACAGACCTCTCCACACTTCAGTGTCGCTGTGGATGCTGTCACCTCTAACGTCAGCTCTCCTGTCTGTTCTACTGTCTGGTTTTGGTGGGTTGCTGTGCAGACTGCAGCAGCTACAAGCAGGAGAGGAGGGGAAAATATTTAAGCTCCAGAAAAAGTGATATGGGTGTATAATAAGTGAATTAAGTTAAAGCTTGTACAACATGTTCAGCGCCACCTTGTGTCAGTACAGAATGTGACAGCAACCGGTTGGTTGTTTGCTGTTAATAGACTTACTATGCATGTAAGCTAGCTGGTGACAGAACTGCTAACTCAGTGGAAAACATGGAAACTAACATTAGAGCAGAGCAGACTAAGGAGGTCTCTTTTTGTGTTGCAATGATAAGCTTCATGTTAAGAAACCAAGGAGCCAGTGCCCACTTCCACTGTCAGTCCCTTTAGCAGTAAGTGGTTCTTCGATGTTTGGCTGTGCTGGAACAGGTATGTCCTCCTGTTAGCCGTGATGTTCGGGTTTGCAGAGAACTGTATAAATGAGGACTGTGTGCAGGAGAGCCTGTTTCAGTTCGACAACCCCGTGGTTCACTCGACCGACATTTTCCTTGTCGGGTTAACTTTAACACTTATTTCCTAAATCCAGCTTCACAGACCATTTTACAGAGCAGAGATCCATGCTGAGAATTTTCCTTTCTACATGTCGTTGTTCATGTCCACTTTAAAATGTCCAAAGGGTTGGATTTGGTCCTTCAGTTTGAGATTTTTATATCAAACTCTTACTTGACAGCTTAAAAATACTCGAATCAAACGAATCACAAAAATATCTTTGTGTTTTTTTTCACCTCTATCATGGAGAGTCCCAGGTATTTAACCTGCTGTGGGGACGTCACCTTGGGCTACGTCGTAGCCTAGCCTAGCCTAGACGTAGCCTTAGATGCTGGGGAATCAAAGGCAGACGGCTCTGCTGAAAAATGAAGTAAGGGAGGGTGAGAGGAAAGAGCAGAGAGCTCGAACAGGAAGCACAGCGTGTTTCTGCTCACAGTCTCAGAGGTGAAGCCCTGAACCTGTGTGGTTTAGTGAAATGCTGCCCTCTGCTGCTCACAGGAGGAAACACAGCCTGCAGCTGCAAACAAACAAGCCTCTGCTGCTGAGCCTGTTGTTCTGCAGTTTCACCATTAACCACTAGGTGGCACTGATGTTTCTCTCTGTGAGTTGATCCAGCTGCCCCGACATGAACTCAAGTCTCCTTTTCCAGATCAGTTTCCACACAGTGGGAAAAGGCCATGGAGTGAAGGAAAGGTGTGAAGGAGAGACTTAAAAGGACTCAGGAAAGGAGAAGCAGACTGCTTTTACGCTGGACTCCTTAATCATGTCTGCACTGCTGAAACTACACTGTCTACAGCATGGACTACAAAAGCCAGCCTTACAGTACATCATCCCAGCGTGTTCTGTCGTTTCCTGCAGGAAAATATAACACTTCACTCAACTGCGAGATTTCAAACAGCTTTATTGTGACTGCAGATGCTCCAGTGCAGAAAAACAGCGACAGAAGAAGAAGCAGCCAGACCTGAGTAGGAGGCCAATCACAGCTCGGGGGACACTTGGGGACATTTTTATTATTATTATGAAAACTAATTAAAAATACTATAAATGCTTTAAATGAACTATGAAATAAAAAATGAACGGTGGACGGAAAAAAAGTTGTTTTCATGACAATCTTGATGCAAAAATGTTCCATTAATATTATTTTAAAATAACAATATTTGCAGGAAATATTTGAAAAATGTTTGTTAATGAGCACTGAAATGTTTTTTACAGAGTTAATGTAGAAAAGAGTTCAGTGAGCTTTGAGGCTGAAATCATCCCACACACTGTTTCTTTTTTTGGTCTTTGGTGACGTCAGAAGCTCTCAGACGAGAGCCAATGAAGCGGTTTGAGGGGAAACGTCACGAGGACGCCGCCGCACTCACGTGTCTGCCATGAATATGAATCTGAAGCCTGCCAGCTTCCATTAGCGCGCTCTTCAAACTGCTACTACAATTTAGCCTAGCATTGCTTTGGAAGGAAGTGATGTCCCTAGAGTCTGACAGATGGCGAGCTGCAGTCTGGAGACATGATGCTGGTGATGGTGGTCATGGTGATAGACTTCCTGAGTGGACAGATCGATGGCGTCTCTCGTGTTTCAGAGGGAGTAAAGCTTCAGCTGCTCCTCTATGTCGGCCTCTGTCACCTCCTGGTTCGCCTTCAGCAGCTGGAAGATGGCCGCCAGCTGCTCCTGTTGCACCCTGGGATGTCAACACACACACACACACACACACACACACACACACACACACACACACACACACACACACACACGGTTAACAGTTTAGCCTCCAGGATCGTTTTTATTGTTGATCCTCGCTCAGGTGTTTTCAGATAGTGGGTTTGGATGTTCACTGAATGATTTCAATATGAATGAACCAGATTATTGCAAACAGCTAACAGTCTCACCATCTGCACTATCTGAGCCTTACATAGCTGCCTGCAGCTAGCAACCAGGTAGCACATCATTAGACAGTACTGCGCTGAAGTCTTCAGCCAACGAGCTTGACAATGAATGTTTGGTGTGAGCACCATCATCCTTCAGCTCTCTGAGGATCTCTTCTCCAGGCTTCTTGAAGGACGTTCAGAGCTCTTCTTTGGATGTTTCTGCCTCAGGATGTCCTTACCAATGTTCCCTCTAATGTTTCATGTGTCTGAACACACAAACACCCTGAGCGGACACTTGGACCACAGTGAGCAACAGCAGACGTGAGCACACGGTCACGCCAGCATCGAATCCATGCATGGTTCATTAAAATAATCAAATTACAGCATTTACATTTATGTTACACTACTTTTAATTAACTGCTTTAGCCCACTTACAATGAAAATTTAAAAAAATCTTGTTCATGACCTGTGCAGCATGTTAACACTATTGGAAGTAAAAATAACTTGAACTCCAATTTTGAAAACACAACTTTCTTTCTTTTCTTTTTATAAAGCTCTGACTTCTGAGTCTGTGGTCTGGGAGAGAGTGTGTAACTCTGCAAAATACAGTAAATAATGACCAATGTTGGGCAGGTAATGATATAGTTACTTCTTCAAAAAAGTAACTGAGTAATGCAAACAACAAGGTTTTTTGCAGCTGTTTACCTAAAAATGCAGCCAAGGCGTTTTTTAAACAAACACTATTTACAGAACAATCAGCTGTTCTGCATCAAATCTGATGCCACGCAAATTATTTGTGCCGCTCCAAAAAATAATTTCTGTCCACTATGAGATGAAGGAGAACAACAGCCTGATACCTGCAGGCCTGACAGCAGCAGATGTGTCACTGCTGTAACACCTGTAACACTCAGCAGGCGCCTCATTGTTCTGACACACAACAAAACCATTGACTACACTTAGTTAGCAGAGCGATGCTACTGTGAACTGAGGAGCGATTGTCCTGATGTGAGCTTCTACTCAGGGTTTTTTCTTCATGTTCAGAGCAGAAATGTTTTTGTTAAGAAACTGGATGTTGTGTTTTTCTCCACAATTTTAATTATAAGCTAGATACATTTCTACTAATGAAATGAGTTTGCTAACAGCAACAGGGATGAGTCAGTGAGTCAGTTGGGTTTGTGAATCATGATTCACGAGTCAGTAAAGTGATTCTCGAGTACTGAACGATTCGTTCATGATTCGCGCATCACTACACGCCGCTTTGCTCGCTAAAACAGCGGTGTCGGCACATAAGGACGCTGTCATAGCCTGTCAACGTTGATTGGCTGCATATATACGAATGTGGGATAAGGCGGCATCGTTCTGATCCCGTACAGGAGCAGCCAGTCACTGTCTGACTATCACTGAAGAACAGAATTGTTAACGCATTTATTTTAATTTCAATTCAGGTAGATTTTTTTCTGTGTGCAGAGGCCGTGCAGCAGTGCAGAATTGTGCACGCGCGCAGCTTGGGGGGAACATTGGTCCCCGCACTGCTTCAGGAATGCTGAGCTCCAGCTCTGGGGAGGCCCATCCATGACTGATAGTGCTCCACTGTGTGTTGACATGCTTTCACTGCGCTGGCAGTGTGTATGGGATCATCGTCAGGCTGAAAAATGAGGCTGCCAATCAGAATCTTTCAGATGTTACTGCATGTGGATCAAAATTTGATTTTCTTCATTAATCAGCAGTTTTAACTCCAACACACATCCAGCTAAATGAAACCAGTCCAAAGACTCTGGCACTGCAAACGTCTCTGAAAGTGTTTCCACTGATGATTCCCAGCAGTGGCTGTAAGCTGACAGTATTTCGTCTGCCCCTCCTCTGTTAGGTCTTGAGGCTGAGATAAAACAGGAGCGTTTCAATCATCTGCATCTTGATATTTTGAAACCAGACTCGTCACTCATCACTTTTGATCCTAAATTCTCAGTGAGAGATCTCTGAGCTCATCAACCCGACAGGCTGGACGAGCTCAGAGATCAGCTGAGCAGCAGGCTCACCTCCTGACCTCTTACAGCCAGAGGACATCTTAATGCAGGTTTGCCATATTTGGAGGGACTTTCCTTTTTTGTGTCGTCTGTGGTTACACTTTTAGTTTTTCATATGTTGCCTCTAAACAACCACCTGATGGTGCTGTTGTCTCTGTCAGCTCCACCTAAACTTTGAAGCAAAAACAGGAAACAGGAAAGAATAAACAAACATCAAGAATGGGCAAAAGTACTTTTAATAATCCAGAATTTACAAAACAAAGATCAGAAAGACTTTCGCCCTATGACAGCTGGGATAGGCTCCAGCGCCCCCCGCGACCCTGAAAAAGGATAAGCGGAAGCGAATGGATGGATGGATGAAGATCAGAAAGAATCAACAACATGTTTCACGCTTTT